CTGTACAGATGTGTTTCGGTTCCATAAAAGAATCTGAGATCCACACGCGATAGATGGCCTGTGTGGTGTCCGTTTCTCCTGTTCAGTAGGAGTTGATATTTGGTGATCCCTTTTGTAGGGGAGTTTAAATGTCATAAGGAAGCCTGTTTCTACTCAACAATTTGTGCAATCTAAAATGACGTAACTCGTATGATCAGTTTCAAACATGGTCTGATCTTACTTCCACCAGGAAGTCATGAGGTGTTGGTGCCCACTAAACCTCCACAAATTCAGTATTTCGAAACAATTGGGCATTTTGGTTACCCTTCAGTCGCGGTAACGTAATCACAACTCCTTGAATGCATGCAACATCTACCATTGATCTCGTGATCACCAAACTACACTTGGTCACCAGCCCGTCATGGTTGAAGGTAAACAAAAGGAAGACGGGAAAACTACTCACCTGAGTGAAAGTAAATCCCAACTCCAACCAACAAAATGTGTAGAACAATATTTCGGCGAAAATATCAATGCATCAGCCATTATCAACGCTTCAATGAGAAGCTCTTCAGATTATAGTGAAAATCCACGTGTTCCAATTACTCTAAATTAAGTGTCGCTTCACGTTCTGCAGAGGACAATTCGGATGTCACTTTACTCGCAGTAATTTCACTTCAGATCGTAGCATCTCACAAATTCCTGCCAAGATTATCCCCGTGTTTTTGACAGTAGGAGAGATAGCTTTGTTAGTCAAATATTTTGTACTCCGGTGAAGGTGTGTGATCCGCAAGAGTAATGGTCATCCGAACAAAAGTTAGTCCTTGTATTCAAGCACGGATTTCACTACTCCGTCAAACTTTCCGTCTCCTTCCGATACAGCGTCAAAATGGGAGGAGTTGTACTGTGTGAAGAACAGTGTGAGGTGTCCTTCGAACTGGGACTGGTACACGCCTACTTCCCGGAAGCTTATTCCGGCATCATTTCCCTTGTATGGAATACCGATTTCCAACCGCAACTGAACACGTTTTCACTCAACCGAGATGCACTGGCACGCTATGATCCACTGTCAATCACTGTTGAGGATACGGTATTCACTTGGCCAACAAATGAACACGTCTCCGATGTGAGTAGACTTCAGTCCCGGTTAAACATTATTGCAATGGTATATTCATGTCAGACACCTGTAACAGTGATACTCATAAGGAGAAACAAATTCTGATAGCCAGGTTCATTCCTAAGAGTTCAAAAGAATTTATCCTTTATCATTCTGTCGCATTCGTTGCGGTCAACATCCATTGGAATGACAGCTGTGTGAGCACAAACACCGTTGACGTATTCAAACTACTTGGATTATTCGGCTCGCCAGTCATCATGAGACACTGCGGTGAGCAACATTCATAGTGTAGGTTATTGATTTATGAATTGTGTAAGCCCCACAGGATAGCAATCATTCATGTTAAACGACTAGAAAAGTAATATTTACTGTTTACTCTTCAGCACACAACTGAACGCGGCGATGTACACCTTCTCAGCAACATTCGGTTTCACGATAAATCTTATTTTGCGCTCGGAACTGACTTTCTACACCGAATCAAACTACGCTTGAAAGCGCGTGGGACTACGTACGTGGAAGTCGCCAAAAATCCGCGATTCCCCTAGCTGTCGCATTCCAGGTGTTGACAACATATCAAACTTTATTTGTGTTGATTAAATCGCTGCGTTCCCAGTCGTCTTTTACTCAATTCGTAGGCCACACTGACGTCTGCGTATCTTCGTGCGCCATACTGATAAACAGAAAAACATACCTGCGCTTTGACAAACTCCTTATTTGACTTTCGTCGCATTTGGTTTCCGTAAACAAATTGCACCGACTATGAACGAAAAACCTAAATTAGGTGGTCGGTTAGCTGAGTATGGTGGGTTTACAACCCGCAACCAAGTATGATGGCCAACAATATTTTGAAAGACGGCGGCAAACAAAGAGATGACATAGTAAGTGATGAAAAATTATAAAATATGAATTGAAAGTCTGTCTGATATGATGCAAAACGACAGCACTCAGAATTGAAAGACTAGGAAACCGGTAATGAGGCACTTGTTGTGAACGCCGCGTTGCTTGCTTCCTGGTGTGCCCGACCATTGGCGATGCCAAATCCCTCGGCGTGAAGGTTTCCGAATAGCAGAGGTGTGTGCTACCTCACACTAACGTATAAGTAATCGTGTAACCCTCAAACTACGAGACAGGGAAGTAAAACATCTATTTCGGAAAAGCACTTTTAGCCTCACTCAGAGATTCATGTATCGGAGTGATTACTTCACGTAGAATTTGAGCGCCGTCTGAGCTAGTCAAGTTAGACTGGAACAAGTTTTAGTAACCGCGGTTTTCTAACGTGTAAACGACGGTGTAATGCCCAACCTGAGGAAGAGGAAATAAAACATCGAATTTGAAGGAGTTCTTTTAGGCGCACACACAGATACATGTATCGGAGCGATTAATTCACCTGAATAACATACGTTACGTTCGGAACCAGGTTCAAGATGAGCGCCGTCTGAGGTAGCCACGTTGGACTGAAACAAGTTTCAGTAACCGCGGTTTTCCGAACAAACCGAAGACCTTGAATACTTCGAAGGATGATGGTCTTCAGCTGGTGCAAAAACTATCTCGCCAAACAAATCGAACTCACTTGTCTACAAAAATCAACCAGCGATTCAAAGCGCTCTTACGCCGACGGTCGAATCACTCACACCAATGCTTCTCGACGTTGATCGAACTTTCAAAATCCACAAGAAATATGGACGATTCGCAAAAGGCTTAACTTCATAAATCGGCTATTTTGATGCCATGTGCCGCAAAACGGTTCTCGCCAAAGTAAGCTTAATGTTCTTCCTGGACAAACTTACGGAGCATTGGCTGAATCGATGTGCTCCACAGTGAGCGAAAGAACGAATGCACGGAAAGATTGACAGATTTCAACTAAGTCCGAGAATGCATCCATCCCAAAGATGCAAGCCCAATACTGTTTCAACAAAGCATTCATCTGTGATCTGAGTATTGCCGCATTTTTCCACGGAACAACGAAGTCATGCCAAGCGATAACACCAATAACTCCCAGCAGATATCTGATAGGAAGCAGGGTGCAACGCATGAAGTACATGCCTAGTTGATACACCAGAACGGAACATGTTTTCCTTTTTCAGCTACGACCTTTTGTGTCTTTTGTGGACCAGTCACTTCATCCCTACTTAATACCGTGAACCCCGGTCTGGATAGTCGCTCGATCGCCTGGTGCGCTTGACCAAACCAGAAAATCAATGAACGTGTGAGTCAGCTGCTCTATTGATCACTGTCGCGTACAAGCGGCAAAAGCGATACTTAGAATACAACTCATCTGCTAAGCGCGAGTGCAGAACAACCAATGAAATCTGTTTCAAGGAAAAACGGTTATTTCATTGGCAGTTATGTAGTCCCGTGACGTTCGGAGCTTGCTCCCATAACAATACCCAATAAGAAGTCTCGTTTTGAGGAAACACGCTCGCTTACAACCGTGGTGGAAGCAAATGGTAGATGTAATGTCGTGAAGCACATGCAGCCCATTCGTAACGTGTATCGACTTCATATTTCAGATCTCTAAATCTTCCACTGATACTTTGAAAAACTTTTTAAGGAAGATAACATTTTATATTCGGTCAAACGCATTTGAAATCAGTAGCACAGACGTTCCATTTCTGACTGTCTGGTTACATTTTCTTGATGATGAGTTATCAGAGTACCTGATTTTACCCAAATGTGTGGTTATAGAATAGATCACATTGACTGACATCGAGCCTGCATTCGAGTAAATCGCCTCTGTCTTGTTCGGATGATTCTGAGTGAGGTCTTACCATATCCATGAAAATTTGAGTTTACAAACACCATTAGAAATCAAAGAATCTGTGTGAAAAACAACTCAGTGTAAGCTGTTTCTATGCGCTTTGATTAATTTGCCTCGGCTCGGGACAAGGAGGTCGCTGTCTGTTTTCGAAAAAGTTTGGTGACAATCGGTAGATTTATTGCTGGGCAAAGTTTCGCTTTTGAGACAAAAGCTTCGTCAGGCCAAGTGACTAGGTTCCGAGTTGGTCGAGATTTAAGGCGGAAGGAGAACCAATCAGCTAAGTCAAGCTAAATCTGTGTTGGGTGTCGGCCGAGGGATTTTTGTGTGTTAGAGTGGTTGAACAAGTGTTGGGTCGGTGGGGAAACATACATGCTTTGGATCCAGCCTACGGTCTAGTTCTTCTGGTTCGTTTCATTTGATGGTTCTTCTTGAACTTCATTTGAACCTACTGTTAGTCTGTGTGGGTGAGCTAGTGCTAAGATTGTTGTGTACGAGGGATGCTGTGACCTTTGGTCGATTGGGATTTCCACCACTACCCCGCGGTTTGATCTAATGATCCTAAGTGGATTGACAACCACACCGTCACGTGTCAACTCGGCTTA